TATATATATATATATATATATATATATATATATATATATGAAAAATATATCAAAAATGCATGTGCGTACTTAAATGAAAGCTCTTGGTGAGTGTAAAATCAGGATGAGCTTATATATTTAAAAACGTCAATATTTAAGAAAGTACAGTACAATTTAACATAAATCATTATTTACTAAAGCAAAATTTTCTTTATTTACATTTCACAAGTCACGGCAGTCACGTAGTGACTGCAAGGTTACTATTTTTTATTAAAATTTAAAACTTCTATTAAAATTTAATAATTTTTAATCAAATAAAAATTAAAAAACTGTATTCTATTATAAATTTATCAGTCGCATTATTCTACAGGTTACCAGTTATTATTTAATTACAAACAACAACTTTTAACTCAAAGACACGCAGTTGTAACAATTATCCATGTAACAAACGTTAATTAACGAGTTAAGTAATTATAATTACAAAGATCCATTCGCTATAACAGACTTGTATTTCGAAGCCATAAAGAATTGGATTCGCGGGTATATGGATTCATCTAGTACATGATGACCTACTGGCTCACTAAAATTCAACGCTTTTTTAAATAAAAAAAAAAAAACACACTAGCTTGTGAACAGTGTATTGTAAGTCTTTCAGTGTTTACTATCATCATCATTGTAATGTACCTTTTATTTTAGCACTCGCGATAATAAGGTGGATTTAAGTAGTGCGCCTGGATGAAAGCCTCGAATTTTTTATTGTCATCATGATAAATGATAAGTGAATGTCAACGAGGATAAATGAGTACTAACAAGTGAATTTTATTGTTTTCAGCCCAGTGAATGACGAACTAGAGGATTATTATCCAGATTTAGAGACAATAGCGAGGCTGCTAGGTTATAAAGCCTGAACTAACTTCCACAACGCGTCACGCGGGTGTGGTAGGTCTATGGGGGGCTCCGCCGCATCAGCACCAGCGGACCCCCTGCTGCAGCTCGAGTCATCACGGGGCCAACTGCTGGAGTTCCCTAGGTGTCTTAGGACGCACTGGGACACTGTCCTCGACCTCGAGCTTACCTTCCCCGGGTTTTGGGACCAAACAAATGAAGAGTCCCTCAGGGATCATGAGGCAGTCTAGCCTCACTAAGCTCGGGTCTATGATTAATACTGCTGTCAATAAGAGAGCTGGTAAGTTTTAGAATTAAAATACAATTTTTTTCTTTTTTTTAAGAAAAAATTTTGTGAAAATTTATCATTTTTTTTTATATTTATTTTTATGACAATAATACTAAAGTTAGCCAACATTTTTGATTTTTTTATTTATTAAATTAGCACAAAAAATATTTTTTTCAAATTGCACTTAAAGTTTTTAAAGTTTTTTGATAATGCATTTTTTTTTTTAATTTTTTTGTGAAATTTTTTCATTAAAAAAAATATTCTAAAAATTTGCAGATGGCTAACTTAATTTTCTTATGACAATAATACTAAAGTTAGCCGAAATTTTGATTTTTTTATTTATTAAATTAGCACAAAAAAATATTTTTTAATTGTACTTTAAGTTTTTTAAAAATGAAATTAAAAAAAAAAAATTTTGTTCGATAAATTTTTTTATTAAAAAAAGTTTTAGACACCAGCTAACTTAAGGAGGTCCTTTCGCCGCCAATGTAAAATATAAATATTAGATTATAAGTAAATTCAATTTTTTTCTAATAGTTAAGGTCCTTATTTATCTAATAGTGAGGTTTAAATTATACTTTACCGGACAAATTTTTGAAAAAATAAAATTTTTAAATGTTAGTATTTGTTCAGAGTCTTACGAGAAAGTCAGACGTTTGCAGTATTTCTCGAATTATACTATCAGTCATGGATTAGATGAAGTAAAAAAAAAAAAAACTAAAAATTAGATTTTCGAAATATTCAGGTTTCTTTTTTTACAATAAAATATATCAGTTACCGAGATATTGATTGAGAAATTAATATTTAAAAATCACAAAAAATTCTCAAGCAACCTACGTTAAAATGGAGTCAAAACATTTGGCAACATTGCGTAGCGCGCGAGCTTCAGACCATTCAATAAATTAAAACTAATTCATTTATTTACACTGACTGCAAAAACTTAAACGTAGTTAAGGTTATATTGTGCAAATGATAATGTAAACAACCGAAGTACAGCGTTGACAAATCACGGACAGGTTACTAGCAGCTGATTTGAAAGAATCAAATTAATTTTTGTATTTAACTAATTTTTTTTTTATTTTCAAAATTTCAACCATTAATGCCTCATATACTATTTATTATTTAATTTAAGGAATTTTTATGGGTTTTTTATTTTAATTTATCGTATATTGACTACTACAATTGTTTTGACTCAACTGGAGCGAAAGGATTTCCTTTTTTCGTTTTCTGACATTGAAATTAGCACTTGATAATTTTTTTATTGTTATTTAATAATAATAAATTAGAGCTACAAAATTATTTTCATTCATAATTTTTTAAAGTTTCTAAATATAAAATTTTTTTTAAATAAATTTTTTTGCTATAATTTATTAGTTAAAAAATTTCTAAAAACTAAAAATTGTCTCTCAATTTCAGTACTATTAATTTTTAATTAAAATTCTATTATTAAAAAATTATAATTTATACTTTTAAAAATTGAGTAATTTTCACAAAATTTTTTAAAGCTATTTTTCTGTTTTTTTTTTTCCTTATATTAGTCGCTTAAAATTTTTAAAGGCTGTATATTTTAAAATTCTTACACTTATAACTAACAATTAATTTAAAAACTTATTTTTAGACTAGATATGAATAAAAAATCCCTGATTTATATATTTATTTAAACCGGGACGGTAAACACCCAATAAAGTATAATAAATCAATATCAATTTGATAAATATCATGAATAATTTCCTTGACATAGCAATGCGGACGGAAAATATTTAATAGCGAGCCGGAGATATCCTATCCTTCCTACCCGTTGATTTTATACACAAAATATCGACCTTGAGCTTAATTCCACGTGAACGAGGGTATTAGGTAGTAGATGGAAGGAATTCATAATCACAAGATTACCAACTCGTATTATCGTTGCCACAATTGTCCAATGCTCGTTTTAATATCTATCTGTATCTTAATGACCCAATACCGAGTTATTATAATTAATTTTATAGTTGTTATTGATACTATTCAATTAAAAATAAAAATAGAATTGTTTGTTTTGCTCCAAACATTAGAAAAAAATAAATATTTAATAATTATTTATAGTTTTGATATTCTCGACTATAAATTTATAAAAGTAATTTAAATTTCAATTACTAAAAATAATTTTATCTTAAAATGTCTTTTCGATATACAATAATATAATGCTGAGTACAAATATCAGTACTAAGTGACCTTCTAGTAGGTAAATAAAACTTATCAGACAAAAACAAAATATTGTAAACTAAAGTATTTGTACTTAAACACCTTAAGACTTAGTCACGTGAATTATAATGTATGAAATAAATTATTTTTCTTAATTTTTGGACAGTTGGTCAGTATTAGAGTTTCGGTTACTATTAGTTAGACACTTTAGTTTAGCGTCTTATAATTGTAAATAATTTACTGTTTTAATTTACTATTATGCGCTTATTTATTATATCAATATAATAAATATTGATATAATTTAATAAATAGTGAAAGTAAAAATTAATAATTAATAATAAAATGAATTTAGAGTGTGAGGAAATAATGCCAATAAATTTAAGTATCGGTGCTGAAATTGAAATAAATTCTAATAGGTGTGAAAACAATAATGTGCATAATATTTTTGGTACATCATATAAACGTGAGTATTATTCTGAAAGTAAAAAAAATAAAAATATTAATATATTTTTTTATTCTTCTCTTGATCTGTTTCTCAATTAATCTTTCGGCAATGTCACGCCGGATTCAAAGTATTGATAAACTGTAAACAAATTACTACTTATAATAATGTTATTTTTATAATTTGATTCGTCGAATCCTGACAATTATTGTCAAGTTTGTTATTTTATAAAACAGTTAATTTATTGATTCATTTATTGTATTATAAAAGCTCATTTTACTGCAGACATCTTCTTGGCAATGATTTATTGAATCTTGCTTTCTGAATAGTTATTTATAGATTCAAGTTCAAATAAAATATTGGTTTATTTATTCTTTTAGTGTGATCAAAAAAATTTTGAATCTATATTATTAAGAGAATAAGAAAAATTTTGTGTTGAGGATAGTCATATGGTTTTTTTTAGTGAAATTTAGTGTGATTGCAAAGGTCTTGATTTGAGGTTGTATCTTTTCAAGGTTTTATATCAGTCTCAGCGATAGGCAATTTATTATGATAAGTGTTAAGGTTGCATTCGAAAATGCTCTATCTGTAGATACATAATTAAGAAATGACCTTGTATCTTGAGAAATATTGACATTTTTAAAGATATAAACTCATCCCGACATTACACTCATCGAGACCTTTCATTTGAGTACCCACATCAATTTTTCTTATATTTATATATATTATATATATAAATATATGAAAAATATGTCAAAATGCATGTGGGTATTCAAATGAAAGCTCTTGAAGAGTGTAACATCAGGATGAGCTTATATTTTAAAAAATGTCAATAATTAAGAAATTACCTTGTATATTCTCAACTACTGACATTTTTAAAGATATAAGCTCATACCTATATTTTACACTACAAGACCTTTTGTTTGAGTACCCACATCAAGTTTTCAGATATTTTATATATTTATATATATTACATATATGTATATATGAAAAATATATCAAAAATGCATGTGGGTACTCAAATGAAAGCTCTTGATGAGTGTAACATCGTGATGAGCTTATTTCTTTAAAAATGTCAATATTTAAGAAAATACAGTTCAATTTAACAAAATTCATCTATATTATTAAGAGAACAAAAAATTTTGTGTCCAGGATAGTCGTATGATCCTCTTTTTTTTAGTGAAATTACTGTCATTGCAAAGGTCTTGATTTGAATTAGTGCCTTTTTAAGATTTTATATCATTCTCACCGATAGTAAATTTATTATTACAAGTATATATAGAATTTTTTGCAAATAATTAAATTATTACAAACTTAAACGATGCTATGAAAGAGTGAAGCAAATGGCGTCAGTTGCAACATATAGATGTGTACAGATGGCTTGTCAATAACGAAGTAGAGTAGTTGATTAGCGTGCATCTTCTAATATGCTCGAGTGACTCTTGTCATTTATATTACATTATTTATCTCTGCTATCCAACTACTCCGTATCTCCCGAGCAATTTCAGCCTTCAGTCCATTGTCGAGCGATTTAAGAAGAGGATCTGTCATATATAGAACAAAATATTTATTTATTTTCGAGCTGTAGCTTCACTTAGTATTTTTCGATTTCTTCTTTATTTTTCGTGAGTTTATCATTTTAATTTTGCAATGGAAATTAAAGAGTTTGTTTCTTCACCAAGTTCTCCAAGATCTGCTCGATCGAGCCGTCGATTCGCTCCCCATCAGCTGAGAGACCGTGGTCCGCTCTTTTCTTCCCTCGAAGAGTTACGTGACAAGCTCAATGAACTCCTGGGTAATTACGACGACGTCCGTCTCAATTTAGTGATATCGTGAGTATGTGGTGTAGGGACTACTTCGTATCACGATCTTCACCTTCATTAGCACTAGACTAAATTGGCTTATAGTCTTCTGAAGAAATCCAGTAGTTTTTTTTTTTTCTCCAAATCATTTTTATTTTTTATTTTTTTTTTTTAGCGTTGTTTTAATAACTACTTACTAATCGGGTGATTATTTAAATAACTGTTATTTCAGCCTGTGAACGCTCGGCTCTATTTGTCAATCTATTGTCTGGGTATAAGCGGATAATTAATTTAACCTTGATAAAAAAAAATTATTGTTTTATAAACAGATACAGAGAAGAATATTTTTTTTTTAATTCAAATATTTAGAAGATACTTTTTTTATTAACTATTTACTTATTACTTATTAATTAGCAAACTGAGAAGTATTGTTGTTTTATTACTTATATAAAAGCTGTTATATAAATTACATTAGAGATTGTAGATTAAAAACTCTTCCTTATTATATTTTTTAATTTTAAATTATGTAATTTTAACTCTCACTCATTTTACTTTTATAGAGTTATTGTTTAGATGCAGAGTTTTTTTTTTATTATTATTTGATGATGCAGAATATGATTTGAAAAAATTTATTAAATTTTTTTAATTATATTATGAAAATATTTAAATAATTATTTTGCATAATATTTAAAAATGAAAAATATTTAATTATGTAATTTTTAGATTTTTTATAGCAAAAAAAAACGGAAATAAACAATTACCTTTTAAAATAATATTTATAAAATTTAGATAGTTTTAAAAAAAAAATTTTTTTTATGATACTGAAGTTAATTGTAAATTTTTTTAATTTTTATAATATATAAATCAATTACAATAAAAAAATGACATTAAATTTAGCTGGTCACTTTAAAATATCTTAATTTTTTTTAACAAAAAAATTTTTTCAAAAAAGTGGCATTTTTAATTTATCAAAATTTCTAAATTTCATTTTTTTTTTTGCTATAATTCATTTATTAAAAAAATTATCAAATATCTACTTAATTAATGGCATTAAAATCAGCAGCCACTTGATGAATTCTTAATTTTATTTACCAAATAAATTTTTTCTGAAAAATCAATTTTAAAAAGTTACATTTATAATTTTTTAAATGTCAATTTTTTTTGCCATAATTTATTTGTTAAAAAAATTCTAAAAATTATAAAATATCTGCTAAATTAATTTTCACTAAACAAAAATGTTTCTAAAAATTCCCACTTACAATTTTTTTTAAAGTTCACACAAAATTTTTTTATTAAATTTTCTTCATAACAATTTTAATGTTACAAAATTCTAAAAAAATTAATGTCTACCATAACTTCAGTGTAATTTTTTTTTACTTACTTATTTAAAAATTTTTCCCCAAATATTAACTAAAACATTAAAAAAAATTACAATAAAATTTTTCTAAATCCAAATTTTCACGTTAAGGCTAAAGTTAACTGAAGGTTTTAATTTTTTGATTTTTTTTTTAATAATTAAATTATAACAAAAAAAATATTTTTAAAAAAAATTGCACTTACAGTTTTTTTCAAATGAAAATTTTTTAATGAAAAAAAAATCTTAAAAATTCTTAAATGTCGGCTAACTTAATTTTCATTTTTCCACGATAAATATTTCAAATATTCCCGCGCAAATTATAAATTCCCACCAAAAAAATTACCAGATCTCAGTGTCAAAAAAAATCATCTTCACAATATTATTCTTATTTAGAAATCAAATTAATCCCTAAAAAAAAAAATAAATAAACAAAAAATCATAATAAATAAAAAAAAATATTTTTAGTTACCACGCGCGCTAGCGGGAGTATAATTCCATAAAAACCTCCAGAGGGCGCGTAAGCCGGCTGTAGCTCGACAAATATGGCGGGGTGTAGACATTGGTAGAATAAAAGACGCACATAAAATCCACCTCTGGCGTTCGATTGCTGTAACAAACGTTTCTCGAATACAAATTACCATTGGTCTGACGCTTGACGTCATATTAATCGTCCGAGATCAAATTAGCGAGTGTGCCGTCGCAGCGAGCGATAATACAATACGAAATATATAAATTGGCTGGTGCCTCCGAGCCAAAGTAAAGGAACCTTATTAAATAAAATAACCCAACAAACTAGTAATAGTACATGTTGTACATATTTAATATATAAAACAGTGACACTGAGACTGCGATAGAATAGCAAGTGGGGTAGTGATGGTGGTTGGACACGCGTGACTTTAAATAGTATACTTGTTAAAAAAATCTAAATAATTAATAATAAATAAATATGCGTGTTGCGAATATGTGACACTAGTTTTACAAGTGAATGCACCTTCGTGTGTCCTAATAATAATAATAACAATAATAATAATCATCCATAAAATAAATCCAAAATTTTTTTTTAAATATTATTTCAGTTTGCTAAAAAATAAAATTAATTTTTAAACTCCAATAAAAAATAAATTTAAATTAAAAAAAAAAGGACGGACTGAGACCGGTGCAAGTCGTCCGTATTTCCACCCACTCTCTCGTCCTTCCCTGAGCTTGTGAGAAAGAAAGAGAGCGAGAGAGAGAAAAAATATTTTGTTTAATAAAAAAAAAACAATTTAAAAAATAAATAATGGCCGGTAAGTAAAAGGTGGTCATTAATTAATTAATTAATAGACTTAAATAAATAATTATTTATTAAATATTTTATCTTTCATACTCCCACGTTGCCGTTGCAAGATAATAGAGCAGCAACCACCTGGCCCGCATCTTTTAAATAGTTAGTGTCTTTTAAATCCTTGGCACTGTTTCGCTAAAGGATCATTTTTGGTTGATAAATTAATTAAAATTAAATTAGCTGACATTTTAAAATTTTTATTATTTATTTTATTGAAAAATAATTTTTTTAAAAAAATTTTTATAATTTATTTTATTGAAAAATAATTTTTTAAAAAATTAAAATTAAATTTTTTACATTTAAAAAATTAAAAAAAAATTGTTTTTTAATTAATAAAAAATATTTGTGTTGGCTAATTTAAATAATTAATTAAAATTGCGAGGGCTTTAAATAATTATTATTCTGGAATAAAATCAAAGCGTCAATTTTTTAACCTAAAAAATTTATAGAGTGATTGTATCTCCCTCTAAGTTAAATACTCCATCTTGCTCTCGACGTCTTTCTCTACCCTCTCTCTAACTCACTAAGTCTCAGTCTCTCCTTTAATATTTTTTTTCATTCTTTATTATTTTTATTTAGACTTTATGTTAGTTAAAAATTAATTCCCTGATTTTTCAACACAAGACTACTGAAATTAAATTAAAATAAAATAAAAAGGGAATCCTCCATCCCTCCGCCATAATATAACTTGACCGCGGGTGCAGATGTGTTCGTCGTCGACAACGACAACCAAGACGACGGTGGCGACTGTCTAATAACATGATGGATTGTGGTGAAACTTCAAGTAGGCTTCTATGGATAAAATAAATATAATAAATAATCCATGAGAAATTATTTAAAAATTAACCATCTAGATATTTATTTATTTTATATTTGTAAAATAAATAATTTGTATTTTTAAAGACGCACTAATTTAATGCTGTAATTTTAAAACGCTTTCAAGCCTGGGCATCCTAGCCTCACATTTTTTCTTTGCTGTTTATTAATTATTTAATTATATATATATATATATTGTTGAAAAAATGCTTTTAGTTATTACTTTTGGAGGTAGAAAAATTCAGAGGGGTAATTATTAGTGTTTTTGTTGCAGGCAATGGTGACATTCAGTGGTGCTTTTCCCAGGTGAAGGGGACACTCGAGGACGATGTCACTGATGGTAAGAGAATATATATTTATATCTTCTCATTAATATTTATTGGTATATAGTCATGTTTATTAATATTTAATATTGAATATTGATTATTTTTAGCTGATATAATCTCATGTGTGGAATTTAATCACGATGGGGATCTTCTGGCTACGGGAGATAAGGGAGGACGAGTGGTTATTTTCCAACGAGACCCTATAGTAAATATTTTTAATTATTTATTTATTTTTAGGCGAAAAGTTATGAAACTATTTGTTTTATATGAGTAATTGCTATCAAAGTTTTTACGACTTGAAATTTTTATTAAAAATATTCAGTAAAAAAATATTTTTTTATCTGTATTTAGGCTGCATTCGAAAATTCTTTCTCTAGATACATAATTAAGAAATAACCTTGTATCTTGTGAAATATTGACATTTTTTAAGATATAAGCTCATCCTGATGTTACACTTATTAAGACCTTTCATTTGAGTACCCACATCAATTTTTTCATATATTTTATATATTTATATATATATTATATATATAAATATGAAAAATATATCAAAAATGCATGTGGGTACTCAGATGAAAGCTCTTGATGAGTTTAACATCAGGATGAGCTTATAACTTAAAAAATGTGAATAACCAAGCAATGACGTCGTATTTTGTCTAATGATAATATTTTCTACGATATAAGCTCATTCCGGAGTTACCCTCATCGAGACCTTTCATTTGAGTACCCACATCAATTTTTCATATATTTTATATATTTATATATATTAAATATATCAATATATGAGAAATATATCAAAAATGCATGTAGGTACTCATATAAAAGCTCTTAATGAGTGTAACATCAGAATGAGCTTATATCTTTAAAAATGTTAATAATTAAGAAATGACCTTGTATCTCGTGAATTATTGACATTTTTAAAGATATAAGCTCATCCTGATGTTATACTCATCGAGACTTTTCATTTGAGTATCCAAATCAATTTTTCATATATTTATATATATTATATATATATGTATGTATGAAAAATATATCAAAACTGCATGTGGGTACTCGAATGAAAGGTCTTGATGAGTGTAACATCGGGATGAGCTTATATCTTTAAAAACGTCAATATTTAAGAATGTACAGTGTAATTTAACAAAAATCATTATTTACTAAAGCAAAATTTTAATTTCTTATATTTCAAAGTGACTGCAAGGTTTCTAATATAAATAATATTGTTAGGATTTTTTATAAAAAAAAATATTTTATTACGTAATAATAAGTCTAACTGTTAGAAAAACAAAATATTAAAAGTCTTGTAACAATTGACCATTATTTGAGATAAATTGTCATTGTAATATACTTACCAAACTAATAATATTTTCAGAGTAAAAATAGTATACCAAGACGAGGTGAATACAACGTGTACAGTACATTTCAAAGTCATGAGCCCGAGTTTGATTATCTAAAATCGTTGGAGATAGAAGAAAAAATAAATAAAATAAGATGGTTAAAGCGAAAAAACCCGGCGCATTTTTTGTTGTCGACAAATGACAAGACAATTAAACTATGGAAAGTTAGCGAGCGCGACAAGAGAGTCGAGGGCTACAATACCAAGGAGGAAAGCGGAGCAATACGTGATCCAGCGTGTATCACTGCCTTGCGAGTACCAACCATAAAGCCGATGGAGCTGATGGTTGAAGCATCTCCTAGAAGAATATTCGCAAACGCCCATACCTACCACATTAACAGTATAAGTGTAAACAGCGATCAAGAAACGTACCTAAGTGCCGACGACCTCAGAATAAATCTTTGGCACCTGGAAATAACTGATCAAAGTTTTAATATTGTAGACATTAAGCCAGCGAATATGGAGGAGCTGACGGAGGTGATTACTGCGGCAGAGTTCCATCCTGTTGAGTGTAATTTATTGGTTTACAGCAGCAGTAAGGGTACGATAAGATTGTGTGATATGAGATCTGCAGCTCTTTGCGATCGTCACAGCAAACTTTTCGAGGAGCCTGAAGACCCAACAAATAGAAGCTTCTTCTCCGAAATTATTTCTAGTATAAGTGATGTCAAGTTAAGCAATTCCGGCCGTTACATGATCAGTAGAGACTACCTCAGTGTCAAAGTGTGGGACTTACACATGGAGACAAAGCCTATTGAGTGTTATCCTGTAAGTATTTATTTTTTTTTTTTTTTAATATTTTATTTTTTTAAATGTTTTATTTTTTAAAATATTTTATATTTTGAAATATCAGAATTTTATAAATGATAATTATTATTTTTTTTTATTTGTTATTTAGGTACACGAATATTTGAGATCAAAGTTATGTTCTCTTTATGAAAATGATTGCATTTTTGATAAATTCGAGTGTTGCTGGAGCGGCAATGACTCGGCTATAATGACCGGCTCTTACAACAATTTCTTCCGTGTCTTTGATCGAACATCTAAGCGTGACCTTACTTTAGAAGCGGCACGTGATATTGCCAAGCCAAAAACACTTCTAAAACCACGCAAGGTAGGTTTTTTTTTTTTTTTGTTTTTTTTTTTTTTTTTTTTTTTTTTTTTTTTTTTTTTTTTTTTTTTTTTTTTTTTTTTTTTTTTTAAGGGGGTATTCTAGTCCAGAAACATGAATTTTAGGTAATTTTTTGAAGTAAAAAAAAGGAATCAATATTTTTACTATCCATTTTTTTTTATAAGTTATTAACATCAAGACGAGCTTATATCTTTAAAAATATCAATAATTAAAAATTGACTTTGTATCTCGTGAACTATTGACATTTTTAAAGATATAAGCTCATCCCGATGTTACACTCATCGAGACCTTTCATTTGAGTACCCACATCAATTTTTCATATATTTTATATATTTATATATATTATATATAAGTATATATGAAAAATATATAAAAAATGCATGTGGGTACTCAAATAAAAGCTCTCGATGAGTGTAATATCGAGATGAGCTTATATCTTCAAAAGTGTCAATAATTAAGAAATTATATGGTATTTTGTCAAATTACGATATTTTTAAAGATATAAGCTCATCCATGTTACACTCATTAAGAGCTTTCATTTGAGTACCCACATCAATTTTTCATATATTTTATATATTTATATATATTATATATAAGTATATATGAAAAATATATAAAAAATGCATGTGGGTACTCAAATAAAAGCTCTCGATGAGTGTAATATCGAGATGAGCTTATATCTTCAAAAGTGTCAATAATTAAGAAATTATATGGTATTTTGTCAAATTACGATATTTTTAAAGATATAAGCTCATCATGACATTACACTCATCGAGATCTTTCATTTGAGTACCCACATCAATTTTTCATATATTTATATATATATATTATATATATGTATATATGAAAAATATATCAAAAATGAATGTGGGTACTCAAATGAAAGCTCTTGATGAGTGTAACATCAGGATGAGCTTATATATTTAAAAACTCCAATATTAAAGAAAGTACAGTGCAATTTAACAAAAGTCATTATTTAATAAAGCAAAATTTTATTTATTTATGTTCACAAGTCACGACAGTCACATAGTGACTGCAAGGTTGCTAGTATTTAATAATTTTGATAATAAAAAATAGTCGCCATTTTGTGAAAAAATTTTTTTAAAACTTTTCCGTAGTCATAGCAACATTACTTTTGATTAATAATCTTTTTTATTTTTTTTGGTTCAAATTACTAGAAGAGTTCGAATCGTGGGTATTTTTTGTCACGTGTTAATTTTTTGAGACCTCTCTACTTCATCAGCTAATTTATTGAATTTTTATCTTTTTCATTTTTTTCTGTATTCTTATAATGTTAATAAATAATATATAAAAAAATGTATAGTAAAAAGATTGATTGCCTTTTTTTTACGGAACTTCAAAAAGTTACCTGAAATTAATTCTTCTAGACTATCTTAAGAATATCTCCTTAACTAAAAAACTATTTTATAGTCTAGTTCTATTAATTAATAATTAATGAATTTTATAATAATAAATTTATTTATTTATTTATTAATTAGGTTTGTACGGGAGGAAAACGTAAAAAGGATGAAATAAGCGTCGATTGTCTAGATTTCAACAAGAAAATTTTGCATACTGCATGGCATCCTTCGGAAAATGTAGTTGCCGTAGCAGCTACGAACAATCTCTTCCTATTCCAAGACAAACTCTAGCACATTTATGTGCAGGTATTCATTTTTATAATTACACTTACACTAGTTTACAAATAATAATTTTTTACATAAAATTTTTCAGAATAATAATTAAGAATAAAATAAAATAAAATAAAAAAAAAAATGTATAGAGTTCACAAACCTTTTTAAATAAATATCTAAAGCGAATGTTTTAAAACCATAAATTAAACTTACATATTTATAACTTTATTTGTTTGTGATTTAATATATTAAAAAAAAAAAAAATCTAATAATTTCTAGCCCGTAAATCAGATAAGATTTAAAATAAAGCTCTCGCTCTGAATTTGTCACTTGTAAACTAGTGTTTTAAGTTTACTTATCTTGTAAATAAAATAATGAATATTTATTTGTAGATTATTCAACGCTTTATATTGACCTGAATGTGATGCACGGCGTTGAACATTTGTAAGCCGTTAAAGAAGTGAGTGTCTAGCTGTTTGTATAAAAAGACAAGAGTCATTGGAATTTTGACTGATGAATTATATAGAGTACATTTATCATCTTATCCATAACAACGCGCGCACAGCTTGTACAAAGGAATGTAATCAGTAATCACATACATGCATATGGAGTAATGATAATTTTATTGATAAATAAATATCGCGGCACAGTTATCTTATGTGATCCTCGGGAATATATTTATAATCAAAAAACAATTTGTTTTAAATTAGTGCGCGCGTAATGTTCAATGCCCCAGTCTTTATTTATTAAGGGAGTTGTAGTGTTTTAAGGCTTAGCGTCAGAAAATTATTTAATTTTTTTTTTATCGAAAAAAAATATATTATTATTATTATTATTATTATCATCATCATTATTAGAGATTAAAATTAATAAAGTCGGGAATAATAATAATAATAATAATAATAATAACTTTAAGGAACTAGTTTTAATATTATAATTTTTATTATTATTATTATTATTATTATTAGAGATTAAAATTTGAAAATAATAATAATAATAATAATAATAATAATTTTGAGGAACTAGGATTATTATTATTATTATTATTATTATTATTATTATTATTATTATTTCTGAAGAAATAAATTACTCAGAATAAAAATAATTTTCCTAAAAAATTTCTTAAACAAAATAAAATCTAATAATATATTAATAATTCACCACCAAAATTTCATAATTTTTTGACGCTAGGCCTTAACCATGACAACTACCTTAAATTTTATTATTCGCTGGGTATTTAGCCTTCGGCGATAGAGACTATCACCGAGACTATTGTCCGCGATACCCGATTTTTTTTTTTCATCTTTGTCTACATTTCATTGTTGGCATTCAATTTGTACGATTCAGACATTTCACGGCTATCTTGTCGAGATTATTTAAAACTCCAAATTATTTTGTCAATATGTTTAATTTTTTACCGTTTAAAAATAATCAGGCCTAACTCGGTAAACTCTTACTATATTTTAAATTGTTTTTTATACAAAATAAATTACTTCGTTCTCATTAACATTAAGAGCTAGTTTTTTAATTTGAGATAAAATTTTATCTCGGATTAAAAAACTGGCCCTAAAAATAGAAAAAAAAAAAATAAAAATACTTATGTGTGGTGTTTGTCTTGTCACTACACGCGATTTCAGTTCACAAAAATACATAAATAATAAAAAACGAAGGCTCAAGTGATTGTCATTAAATTGTATAAAATTTATTTTAAAAATGAATCTAATTAATTTTCATAAAAAAAAAAAAATCAGTCATACTTTTTTGTCATATGCCACTGAATTATGGTGTAAAAGTATTTTGATATTCATTTTGGCTCAACAATTTTTAAAATTTTGTAGTGATTAGAGTTTATTAATCAATAAAAATTATTTAAATAAAGACACGTAATTGTTTCGTCATTGTATTAGTGAGTTGTACTCTAATTTATGTTAATAATTAAAAATGAATCTCGGTGTAATGTATGAGTGTGAGGATCCTTTTTATGAACTCCGCCGTCCATCTTACGGCATGAAACAAATTTTATTTTGTTTAAGAACTTTTTTATGAAAATTATTTCTATTCAGAATAATTTTTTTTTCTGATATAATAATAATAATAATTATTATTATTATAGCATTATAAACAATAATAATAATAATAATAATTACAAATTTATTATTATTATTATTATAAATAACAGAAAAATTTTTGTATGAGTGTGATAATTAATTATACAAGTAGGTAAATTTTTTTTTTAAAAATCGGCTTTTGAGTGTGAGGTAAGTTTGATGATAATGAGCCAAAATTTTAGCAATTGTGTGTCTATAATTCTAGTGAGCCTGTGTCATTGTGATGTACCTAATACATGTTATGTTTTTGTAGAGTAAATAATATTTTTTTTTTTTTAAGTAATAAATGCGAAGTACTATTATGCAAGACAACACTCACACATAATCCACGTATAGTATTGTGTGTAAAAACATAAATACAAATATTAAATAAAATGATGAACGATATAATTTATAAAAGATGCAGGGGCATAATTTAAAGACACTAATTTGTACAAGGCTTTGTAATAAAGAATAACAATTATAACTAATCATGTTTATAATATGATTAATGGTTAATATGAAAAAAAAAAAAAAAAAATGAGGTCTGGATAATCGATGTTAGATTAAACGTTGAGCTTTGAGTAAAGTTACTATAAGATAAATATTGGTAATGATTATTATTACTGTAATTATTATTAATTATCTTAAGTACTTGCTGCAGTGTACAACGACCAAGATGGTCGGATCTCTGATGTATGATATATGATAGTACGAGCCATATTTTATATACGATCGGCATAAAAATAATAATTATCTAATTATTTCGGTGCTTAATCGCCTAATCGCTTTTTGCCCATCGCTTTTATTATTATTATTATTATTATTAATTAATAATTATTGATAATTTGTTTATATAAGTGTAAAATTAGTTGATCAATTTATAATTCAGTTTAGTGCCAATTACTCTAATTAATTATTAATTAATTAATTACTCTAATTCTACTCAGATTTTTTTATTTAAAAAAAATCTGTTTATGTGTTTACATTCCTATTTGTTATTATTATTATTTACCATTTAATTTCAAGGGTTTTAGTTGTTGATTTATTTATTTTTTATTATTATTTTGGTAATTAATAAATCTGTCAATATTATTATTATTATTGTATATTTTTTAATTCAATTTATAGTGCTAAATTGATCAACGTTCATTTTTATATTTTATTTCGATAATTATCTAATTGAAAAAATTAAAAAACACCATCGCGAATAAGACACTAACAATCAAAGAAAAATTTAAATAAAAATTACTTGAAATATATTTATTATTTGTATTTAATTTAAATAAATTAGTGAGTTACTTTGAGGACAGTTGGATTTTTTTATTAAATTATTTGCTTTCTTTTTTATTAATGAGAAATTGAGAGAGATTTTGATGGTTTTATAACGAGGTTTGACTGTACTTAAAGTAATTAAAATAAGATTTTTATTTGATGGTTAATTTATTGATCATTTTTATTGTAAAAAAAAAATAATGTAAAGAAGACTAACTTGGCAATCAACGTTGGCTCAGATATATGTAGATATATAGAAAATGCTTCAACTAATTTTTGAGAAAAATTTAAATAGTAAATTTTCAAAAATTTGGTAAATTAAAAAACTTTCTTATAAAGATGCTAATTTTTTTGGGAACAATTTTTTTATACTAATTTTTGGAAATTTAGCAATTGTGAAGATATTATTGACTCGCCTAGTATTGGCCATCAGGACCTTGGTGATGATTAAATAAAAATTAGGGTAGAAGCACCGTTTTTAGACATTTCATGTCCAAATTATTGTATGAATAATTTATGAGCACTAGCAACCTTGCAGTCACTACGTGACTGCCGTGAAAATTAAAATTTTGCTTTATTAAATGACTTTTGTTAAATTGTTCTGTACTTTCTTAAATATTGATATTTTTGAAGATATAAGCTCATCACAATGTTACACTCATCGAGAGCTTTCATTTGAGTACCCACATGCATTTTTTATATATTTTTGATATATACATATATATAACATATATAAATATATAAAATATATGAAAAATTGATGTGAGTACTCAAATGAAAGGTCTCGATGAATGTAACACCGGGGTGAGCTTATATCTTTAAAAATGTCAATATTTCACAAGATAAAAGGTCATTTCTTAATTATTGATATTTTAAAGATATAAGCTCATCCTGATGTTACATTCATCGAGACCTTTCATTTGAGTACTCACATCAATTTTTTATATATTTTTCATATATGCATATAAATATATAAAATATATGAAAAATTGATGTGGGTATTCAAATGAAAGGTCTCGATGAGTGTAACATCGGAATGAGCTTATATCGTTAAAAATGTCAATAAATCACAAGATATAAGGTCTTTTTTTAATTATATATCTAGAGATTTAGATATTTCACCAAAAAATCCAATTTTATCATATGACTATCCCAGAAACAAAATTTTTCTTATTTTCTTAATAGTATAGATAATAGTATCTTCAATTTTCTGAACAATCATTGAATTTCAGTGTCCAAAACCAGTGGCTCTATCTTATGTTAAATCTAAAACCAAAGGCCGCAATTATTATAAATTTTAGGACAAAATTGACTAGCAATAATCCCATAAGGAACTTGACTTCCAACTTTAATCGGCTGCAAATGACTCATTTTATTCCAAATGTGAACAGCTAAAGACTTGTTGATCAATTTCAACGTTTTATCTTTATTTTCAGCTTCAAAATATTTTCTCCATTCATCGTAGTAAATTGGCGTGAATTCCCAAGGCGAAAATACTGTAAAGCCATTACAGTTATGTGTCTCATTAGTTATCTACATTACAATAATAAATAATAAATCATTAATTGATAATTAATTATATATAATAACTATAACCTAAAAAAAAAAAACTTACGGGCTTCTCACAAATTTTCTCTATAACTCTCGTGATAACATCAGGTCCATTATTTCTCCAAACATCACCACGAAAATTATTCTTCAAGTCATTAATACAAGCATCAGCAACTTCCCTACCAATTTCGGATCCTCCGAAGCTCATCATGCAAGAAGCTATAGTGTCTTCATCTTCAGCACCGACAAAATCTCTCAATTTTTCAAAGGACCTAATGTTAAATATAAAAAAAAAATCAACAATTTTATCTTTAATTAAATAATTACTAAAATAATTTACGAAAGCGTGACCACATCGAGGTCCATGTAGATTCCAGGGACTTTCCAGAGTGTCAAGTAACGGAGAACGTCGGACATGTGATGTTTCGGCCATTTGCTTGTTGTTAGTTCGCCTTTTTGCCACCAGTCTTCTAGCGGCGTGTTCTTGACATAGTCTTCTATATCAATTCTCCTTACAACAATGTTTTTGTACTCTTCCAAGTGGCTCAATAATTCTTCTGTTCTTGGTGAGTATTCAGAAGGACTTAATATTAATAAATATATCTTCATTTTGGGATTCATCTTCGCTGCTGATTCAATAGAACAACACTGTCTTGCATTCAGTTCTATTCCTGCGGCGCCAGAGCACGAAGTCTCGATGAAAAAAATGTTATTGTCGTCTGTGATTTCTTCTTTGATTGAAAAAATAAAAAAAAGAGTGTAAGTATTAAAATAAAAAAAAAATAATAAAATTGACATTTTTAATTTTTTGATTGTTTTTTAATAATTAAATCAGAACAAAAAAATATTTTTTAAAAATTGCACTTACAATTTTAAAAATTTTTTAAATTTTTTTTTTTTTGTCGTCATTTTTTCAATATAAAAAAAATTAGCTAACTTAATTTTTATAATTTTAATTTATTTTTACAAAAGTTTTATTGCAAAAAAATAATTGAAAAAATAAATTACATATCGCGGTACTAATTAGAAAATTATTTAATTCCATTTTTTATCTAATAATCTATTTGTTAGATAATAAATAAAAATAATCAGATGTTAATTGATTTTACGGTAAGGCTATTCGGATACTGTGAGCGGCTTCAGCGTGAGGCTAGCGTGAATATTAGAAATTTCACGCCATGCTATTGGTTGAAAAAAATCTTATATTCATGCTACTGTGTCCGAATAGCCTCAGCCTTGATTTTAATATCATGAAAAAATAAATATGATAATTAAATTTGAAGACATATGTTAATTTTTTATGACATTAAAGTTAGCAATCTTGGCCAGTTTTTAATTTTTTTTTAACAAACAAATTTGTTTTGGAAAAATTACTTTTAAAAAAATTGCATTTTTAATTTCTTAAAATTTCTACATGTCAATTTTTTTTTGCCACAATTTATTTATATAAAAATTCTTAAAATATCTGCTAAATTATTTTTCATTAACTTTTTGGATTTTTATAACTAAATTATTATGAAAAAATTTTATTAAAAAAATTTTTATTATCTAGAAATTGAAAAATAAAATTACAAGTTGAAATTTTTGAAGCATATTTATTTTTAATAAAAATCAATAAAATAAATAATACTAAAGTTAGCCGATGATTTTAATTTTTTAATTTATTTTTAATAATTAAATTAGAACAAAAAAATTTTTTTAGAAAATTGCACTTACAGTTTTTAAAGTTTTTTACAAGTGAAATTTTTTTTTTTATTTTTTTGTAATCATTTGTTCAATAAAAAAAAATTCTAAAAATTTTTAAATGTCGGCTAACTTAATTTTCATATAAAATAATCAAATTTTTGCTAATTTCAGTAATAAAAAAAGTAAATACCTTTTTCATTGAAAGTCTCAATAGAATAAATTGTTGAAGGATCAAAGTAACAAGAAATTTCTTTATTAACTTCTTTCTTAACGACATTAACCACTGGAAATTGGTTATTTTCAACGGTTGTATTTTTTAAATAACTATAATTAAAAATCCACAGTGCATATAACGTGATACTAAAGCCAAAAACAATCACCATTTGTTTCTTCATTGTTAACTAACATTCACATCAACTATGCAAATATTTTACACCTAAAAAACTTTTCTTCACTTAAATAAGTAGACAAATATATATATATATATATATAATGTGTATTTAATCAGTGTCCCTGAGTTAAAGTAACTGTAAATTTTAATAACTGATATCTTCATTGATAACCAAATACATTTTGGAAGAAATAAAATATTCTAAATGTATGTAAGTAAAAAAATCAATTGAGTATTATTGTAAAAAAGTTAATACCACAGTGATTAATTTTTTTATCTTATATCTCTCTGAATTTTGAGTGAACACTGCTCAAGTCCCGGGCGTTATCTCTGCAATAACGGTAGATTAAAGTATTCTAGACGAAAACATGAAAAATGCTGTTTGTTTGATGATATCACACTGCAGTAAGATAATTTATTTATAAATTCGGCGGTATATTGAAAACAATATTTGTTCCACCGAAAATTGCTAATTTACTTCTCACTGTACAATTTTTAAACTAATTTATTGTAAAGAGAAATGAATCATTAATATTGAACTAAAATTCAATTCTTCACAGCGTTGAGCGAGAAAAGTGTTACTCATTTTCTAAATCGTTATCTCCTTAGCAATAATCATTGATTGTTCATTAAATTATCTCTAGATATAGAATAGAACAATTTTGTGTTTGTACGATGATAACACGCTTGTTTAGTGACATAGAATTGGTTCCATTTATTTAAACCACGTTTTTGTGATTAGATTGACTAATTTTTACTGAGTTTGATTAATAAAATCTCTAATTTTTAGTTCCTAAATTCAGTATGACAGTAAAATTAGCAGACATTTTACTTTATTTAAAAAATTAACTTTAAAACTTATCATTTTTTATAATTTCTGCATGTGAATTTTTTTTAGAGTTTTTTTATTGATACAATTTATTTGTCATAAATTTTTTTTAAATTATAGTCATCGTTCATTTTACTTTTGCATTGAAATTATTATGTCATGTACTTATTCTTCCTATTATTTATTACTTACTGATTTTTTTTTTCAAATTATATTGATTAATTTTTTAACTGTCAATTTCATAATATTAATTATAATTAAATTTTTATTAAAAATTCGTCCAATAATTTATTTTGTTTTTAGTTTCCTGCTAAAAATAAATTAAAAAAAAAATTCAATAAATAAAATAAAAATTTTATTAAATTAAAGTTAGCTGTCACTTGATTATTTAAATAAAAAATTTGTTCCAAAAAATTGCATTTTTTAATTTTTTTAATATGACACTGAAGTTAGCCGACATTTTTAGTTTTTTGATTTTTTTTCAATAATTAAATTAGAACAAAAAAATATTTTTAAAAATTGGCGAGAAAAGTGTTACTCATTTTCTAAATCGTTATCTCCTTAGCAATAATCATTGATTGTTCATTAAATTATCTCTAGATATAGAATAGAACAATTTTGTGTTTGTACGATGATAACACGCTTGTTTAGTGACATAGAATTGGTTCCATTTATTTAAACCACGTTTTTGTGATTAGATTGACTAATTTTTACTGAGTTTGATTAATAAAATCTCTAATTTTTAGTTCCTAAATTCAGTATGACAGTAAAATTAGCAGACATTTTACTTTATTTAAAAAATTAACTTTAAAACTTATCATTTTTTATAATTTCTGCATGTGAATTTTTTTTAGAGTTTTTTTATTGATACAATTTATTTGTCATAAATTTTTTTTAAATTATAGTCATCGTTCATTTTACTTTTGCATTGAAATTATTATGTCATGTACTTATTCTTCCTATTATTTATTACTTACTGATTTTTTTTTTCAAATTATATTGATTAATTTTTTAACTGTCAATTTCATAATATTAATTATAATTAAATTTTTATTAAAAATTCGTCCAATAATTTATTTTGTTTTTAGTTTCCTGCTAAAAATAAATTAAAAAAAAAATTCAATAAATAAAATAAAAATTTTATTAAATTAAAGTTAGCTGTCACTTGATTATTTAAATAAAAAATTTGTTCCAAAAAATTGCATTTTTTAATTTTTTTAATATGACACTGAAGTTAGCCGACATTTTTAGTTTTTTGATTTTTTTTCAATAATTAAATTAGAACAAAAAAATATTTTTTAAAAATTGCACTTACAGTTTTTCAAGTTTTTTACAAATGACATTTTTTAAAAATTTTTTTATAATAATTTGTTCAATAAAAAAAAAAATTTCTTAAAATTTTCAAATGTCGGCTAACTTTATTGTCATAGTCAGCAGACGTCTAAAAATTTTTGATTTTTTTTTTTTTTTTTAATTAAATTACAACTAAAAAGATATTTATCAAAAATTGCACTTATAGTTTTTCAAGTTTTTAACATGTGATATTTTTTTTTTAAATTATTTAATTGAAATTTTTTCGATAAAAAATTTCTAAAAATTTTTAAATGTCAGCTAACTTCATTTTCATTTTTTAATACTTTTTTTCTAGTCATAATTTATCTGTTACAAAAATTTTTAAAATGATTAAATATCTGCTCAATTAATTTTAATAATAAATTTTAAATAATTAATCCGCAACTTAAAATTTTTAAAATCCCAAAAATTAATTTTTTAAATGTCAAAAAATATGAGAATTAAAAAAATGAATATTGAAAAAATCATTAATGCCCAATAAATAAAAAAAACTCCATATTTTATTGTAAATAATGATTGAATTGTCCTTGATAATTAATAAAAAACCAATCAGCTGGTTATTCCGTTAAAATTAGTAATTTAATGAATCATTTTCTTTATCTATCTCCAGGTATTATGTTTCTTTATTATATTATTCATATTATATCAATATAATTCTATATATTTCTCTCAATCAACAGCGCTCAGAGCGCCACAGCGGCGTTTTGCCGAAACTAATCTGTAAAAAAAAAAAATTTTACTGTCAGTGTCAGCGACAAGTGTTTAGTTTAGTGTCAAATAACTAAATTATTTCACCTTCACCAGTTGTGCTTCAATAGTTTATTAAAAAAATGGCCCACGATTATTTGAGTGACTCTAAAAATCCTTTTTTTTCTCTGGAAGATGACATTGACGACGAGACATTTTTACAGAGCGCACCTACAAGGTCCATCTCCAGCAACAATCCGTTTGTTAATTTTGATAATAACATTGAGCAGCAACATCAGCAGATCCTGGAGCGAAAAAAAGCCGTCGAGGAACGGACGATAAAGTCATCTGAAAGATCAATGACATTGTTAAGAGATTCTGAGCAGATTGGAGCAGCGACTGCAGAGGTTAGTTTTATTTATAATTATAATAATTATTAGATTGGATGTCATTGATATAAGTCTGATGATCTTTGATGACATTAAAGTTAACAGTCACTTGATAATTTTTTTTTAACAAAAAAATTTGTTATGAAAAATTATTTTTTTAAAATTGGATTTTTTATTTTTAAAAATTTCTACATGTCAATTTTTTTCTGATAAATTATCTATATTATTAAGAGAATAAGAAAAATTTTATGGCTGCATTTGAAAATTCTCTATCTCTAGATACATAATTATGAAATGACCTTGCATCTTGTGAACTATTGACATTTTTAAAGATATAAGCTCATCCTGATGTTACACTCATCGAGACCTTTCATTTGAGTACCCACATCAATTTTTCATATATTTATATATAATATATATTATACATATGTATATATGAAAAATATATCAAAAATGTATGTGGGTACTCAAATGAAAGCTCTTGATGAGTGTAACATCGGGATGAGCTTATATCTTTAAAAATGTCAATAATTAAGAAATGACCTTGTATCTTGTGAAGTATTGACATTTTTAAAGATATAAACTCATCCTGATGTTATACTCATCGAGACCTTTCATTTGAGTACCCACATCAATTTTTGATATATTTTATATATTTTATATATTTATATATATGGATATATGAAAAATATATCAAAAATGAATGTGGGTACTTAAATGAAAGCTCTTGATGAGTGTAACATCAGGATGAGCTTATATCTCTAAAAATGTCAATAGTTAGGAAAGTACAGTGCAACATAATTAAGAAACGGCCTTGTATCTTGTGAAATATTGACATTTTTAAAGATATAAGCTCATCTTGATGTTATACTCATCAAGACCTTTCATTTGAGTGCTCACATCAATTTTTCATATATTTTATATATTTATATATATATGTATATATGGATATATGAAAAATATATCAAAAATGAATGTGGGTACTTAAATGAAAGCTCTTGATGAATGTAACATCGGAATGAGCTTACATTTTCGAAATATATATTATATATATGTATATATGAAAAATATATCAAAAATGCATGTGGGTACTTAAATGAAAGCTCTTGATGAGCCTATCATCGGGATGAGCTTATATCTTCAAAAATTTTATTTAGTTATAGTTCACAAGTCACGGCAGTCACGTAGTGACTGCAAAATTGCTAGTATCTAATAAATTTAAATGTGATAAATTAATTTTTGACGTTTGATAAAAAATTTTTATTGCAGGAACTAATTAGACAAAGAGAGCAGCTCGAGAGAACTGAAAAAAGACTTGATGACATAAACAGCACGCTGAGATTCAGTCAGAAGCACATCCAAGGCATAAAGAGTGTCTTTGGCAGTTTAAAAAATTACCTGAGCGGCAAGTCCGTGGATTCTCCTACGCCAACTGTCGGTGGAAAGTTTTCCGAGTCGGAGTACTCTGGACCCGGCAGCAGTGTGCTGAGCAACACCATCGAGCAGTCCAGAGTAAGCTTAGCGGAGCAGCATCCCTCGCTGCAGCGAAGAGGACTCCTGGGTGGTGACAGCTTCGATGATGACAATGGCGGGAGTCAGTACAAATCTCAGAACTCCAATGTCAGCAAGATCTTGGAGCGCAATCTTGATGAAATGAGCGGATCTTTAGCGAGACTCAAGGGCTTAGCCATTGGTCTGTCCGAGGAAATTGATTCTCAGAATGATTTGATTGAGAATGTTATGACCAAGACAGATAAGGCTGACATTATGCTGGAGAGACAGAATAAAGACATGAGAAATTTATTGAAAAAATAAATTTAGGTGCAAAGAAAAATGAAGATTTTATATTTAATATTAGAATTTATTATACAATAGGACGCGTATAATTGTCCGTATAAAACGAATTAATGATAATTATTATTATTATATGTGTAAAGACTTGAGCAATTTTAGGATTAAGTGTTTGGGTGTGCTGAAGTATAATTTGGATTTTTGATTTTTTTTTTTTTTTTTAAGTAAGTGTTTAGAAAAAAGTAATCGCAAAAAATAGACCGGAAAAAAATTTTAAAGTTATGAAAAATTTATATTATTTCATTAAAATTATTGTACAATAAAAATTATTATATCCACCCCCACAATTTTCCTAAAAAACAAATGTCATTAAAGTTAGCCGACGTTCTAAATTTTTTGATTTTTTTTTAATAATCAAATTAGAACAAAAAAATTTTTTTAAAAATTGCACTTACAGTTTTTGAAGTTTTTTAGACGTGCAATTTTTTTTTATTTTTTAGTAATGATTTTTTCAATAAAAAAAAATTATAAAAATTTTTAATTGTCAGCTAATTTGATTTTCATAAAAAACAAACATGAAAATTAATTTAGCAGATATTTGATCATTTAAAAATTTTTTTAACTAATTAATTAAGGTAAAAGACCCAGTTATTGACACTTGCAATTTTATTTTAATTAAAAAAAATAAATCAAGTCTTACAAATTAATAAGTATAATTTTTAAATTATAAATTTTAAGATAATTGATTTTTTCAGAACATTTTATTTTTTTAATTAGGATAAAATTGCAAGTGTCAAACAACTAGGCCAGTGCCAATAACTGGGTCTCTTACCTTATGGCAAGAAAAAAATTATTTAAAAAATTGACTTGTAGAGATTAAAAAAAATTGAAAATGCAATTTTTTAAAAATAATTTTTTTGTTAAATAAAATTAAAAAATTTTCAAGTGATGGCTAAATTTAATGTCATAAAACAAACACCCCCAAAATTATCGCTTGATTTTTTGTTACAAAAAAAAATATTATTATTATTATCATTTTTATTATAATAATTTTAATGAAATAATATGAATTTTTAATAACTCATAACTTTAAAATTTTTATCCGGAATTTGTAGAAAAAATTTTTTTGATTCAAGAAAATATTTTGCAAGAACTGATTTTATTAAAAAAAATCAATTTGTATTATTGAAAATAAAAAAAAAAGTGTATTTATAATAAATTTAAATAAATAATTTCTTTTAAAGATTTCTATTAACTTAAAAATTATAAGAATTAAATTATATTTTCTTGGCTCAAGAAAAAATTTTTTTTTCATATTAAATTTAGTAATCAGTGCAAAAAGGGTTTTATCTATTGTAAGTAATTATTTAAATTAGTTAATTGATTTTAAATAAGTAGTATGTACTTTAACATACCGATATCGTAACTTGTATACAAACGTAAAAAATTAATTGTTTATTTTTATGCAAATGAAGATTTGATCTTTTTAAATAATTTTATTTATATTTACTGAGTAATACGTATCATAAAAGTTGAGCTTTAATATCTTTTTTTTTCTAAATATATATAAGTAAGTCTATGAATCATTTTTGATGTAAAGGCGACTGCCTAATTGAAAGATTGTTAAATAATAAATAAAAAGACAAGGTAATTCATTTAGATGATCATTTTTATTCAATTATTATTAATCGAATTGTTTTTTAATTCTCATTTGCCTTCTTGAGGAGGTTGACCAGTTTCTGCGGATTTTTGGTTTTGCATTGGCGCTCTTCAAGTCGTGGCGGAATAAAGCTCCAACTTGCAGGTGCGCTGAGCTTGTAATGATCTAAATATCAAATTATATAAATTACAATATTAATATTAATAATTAATTTTTATACAGATAAATTAAAAATTGACAATTTATTTTTTTCATTTCAAATTTTCTTATTCAATTTTTTAATAAAAAATTTTTTATTGAAAAAAAAACTTACCAGAATGCTGACCAGAAAAATAAAAAAAGTAAATAAGGTCAATAAACGCATTTTTAAAATGAAAAATATTCAAAGATAAATTCTGATTGACTGACTGATAAAAATCGACCTTTATATACCAGCGCTTTGTTTGAAAAAAAAATAATAAAAATTAATCATCATCTTGAAGATTGTAAAATAAAATTTTATTAAAAAGATCATAGATAATAGTTGATATTTGATAATCATATACTTCCTGTTATTATATCGTTAAATTTATATAAATTGTCAGCAAGTTTATTAAAATAGAAATTTAAATAATTTTTATCAATTGTAACAAATTATTATTTAAAACTATTATTCTGCTTTTAAATAATGATCATTGAGGCTGCTTTTAAAATTGAGTGTCATAAAATTTATGACTTATACATCAAGCTAATTTTAAATAATTCAATCTAATTATAGTTATAAAATAAATCAGTAATAATTAATCGCTTCGACGTTATTGGGAACAGAAGTTGCTTCAAAAGCCAGTCGCTCTGCTTCGCGTTGATGAGCAATAGCTTCATGCTCGGCAGCTATTTTGTTGAAGAGTTCAAAATGGCGATTTTTAGCTCTTGCAACGCTGACGGTCTCCTAAAATAAATTTAATTATTTTAATTAAAACACTTTATGTTAATTAATTTTTATTTTAACTTACTCGAGGAAGATTTTCATTTAATCCAGGAGGATTTGCATTGCGATTAGCAATTTTTTCATACAAACGATAGTGCTTTTCCTTTTCTAACCTCACAGCTTCTGAGTCTTGCGGCTGCGCCTGAACGTCTTCGAAGTTTTTGAGAATCGGGTGGAAGCCATTTTTGTCGGCAGTGTAATCAACAGTTCTTATTTTGAATTTAGGATCGATGTAAGAGTAAGTACCTGAATTTTATTTTATTTTTAATTTATAATTTTTATTTTAATTATGATACTAAAATCAGCTGACACCGGACATTTTTTTTATTAAATTAAAAATCATGGAAATAAAATTAGCAGACATCTGATAATTTTTCTTATTAAAAAATCAATAGAAAAAAATATGAAAAAAAATTTGAAAAACGATAAGTACGATTTTTAAAAAATATTTTTTAAAATTTTAATTCAATTAATTAAAAAAATTTATTACATTAAAGTTAACCATTAGTCATTTAACCATTTTTAAGGTCGTTTTTAACAAATAGATTTTTTCCAAAAAATTATTTTAAATAAATTGCATTTATTATTTTTTACATGACAATTTTTTTTTGATGAAAATTAAAGTAGTAGATATTTTTTAATAAATTTTAGAAGTTTTTTAAAAAATTAATTAGTGCAAAAAAAAAAATTAGAAAAAAAATTGACATTTAGAAATTAAAAAAAATTAAAATTGCAATTTTTGAAAATTAATTTTTAGTTATTAAATAAAATTAAAAAATTGTAAAGTGACTGCTAACTTCATGTTGTTTTTTTTGCTATAATTTATTTGTTAAAAAAATTCTTAAAATTATTAAATATCTGCTAAATTAATTTTCATTAAATTTTTAAAGTCATTTAAAAATTAAATATAAAAAAATACTTCAAAAATTTTTTACTTGTCACTTTTTTTTTTTATTTTTAAATATGGAATTTTTTTGTAATAATTTAGTCATAATAATCAAAAAAATTTACAGAGGTGTCTATTAATTTTAGTATGACATTTAATTAAAAATTAAATAATTAAGGATTAATATTGTTAATATTATTTTAATAATAATTACCGTGTACTACACCAGCGCCATCACCAGATTCGGATCTAAAACGATCAACATGTCCTGGGTATCTTCCAGCTTTGTAATTAAAACTGTACGGAACTGGAGGTGGTGGAATGGTAGTAGTTTTATCTTGATACTCTGATTCTAAACCAATATGAGAAACATCACCCAGACAAAAATTTATTGAGAGCAACAGAGTTGCAATAATAAAAAAAGACATTTTGTAAATAAAACTCTGAATACAATGTCACGCTCCAAAGTTTTTAATCTTACTGACATAAAATATATTCAATAGTGAAAGTAAGAATGCTCATATTGCTTAAGCAGCTTTCTCAATTGCTACATTATTTCCATTATAAATAATTTTTAAACTATTCAAAATGAAAACCCTTCAAAAGATAACTTTATTTTTTAAAACAATTATTTATTACATTAATTTACAATTACATTTAATAATAAGGACTCTAATCAAGCTATTTTAATTTTCTAGGATTTTATCATCCGATGTGAAGGTACCTTAAAATCCAGAATAATAAACAACTTGGCCATGATCATTGCCAGATAATTACGTAATAATCTGACTCATCTGCATAATAATTAATTTATTAATAAATTCGATATCATGCTCTATTCAATAAAATTATTATTATTTCTTCATGAGCTTCTTCTGAAGAAACTCAAAGCACCGCTGCTTCTACGAGGACGCAAAGATTCATCAACCCGACAATTGATTTCTTCTTCCAAGAAGAAATCACGGTGATCTTCCAGAAGTTTTATATGTTTTTGGTGAATCTCTATCAAGGGTCCAGCTTTTCCTCCACATTCATTGGGCAAAAGGTCTAAGGGCACAAATTTTTCAAGTGTCTCATCGTTGGTGTGAACGTGAACCTACAAAACAATTTTACATTATTGGCGCATTGTTTATAATGTCAAAATTAAGAGCCATTGGATCTTTTTTTATTAAGTTAATAATTTATGGTAAACAAAGTTTAGAAAAAAAATCAAATTTAGAAATTAAAAGTAAATATATATAAGGTAAAAGACCCAGTTATTGACGCTGGCGTAATAATTTTACACTTACAATTTTATTATAAATAAAAAAATACAATTTCCTCAAAAAAGTAATTATCTTAAAATTTATAGAATTCAAGAATTGATTATATTATTAAGAGAATAAGCAAAATTTTATAGCCACGATATTTATATAATAAAATGGGTTTTTATGGTCAAATTTGGTATCGTTGGAAAATTCTTGACCAGGAGTTGTGCCTTTTCAAGGTTTCATATTATTCTCACCGATAGTCAATTTAGTATGATAAGTATTTAGGCTGCATTTGAAAATTCTCTATTTCTAGATAGATAATTAAGAAATGACCTTGTTTCTTATAAATTATTGACATTTTTTAAGATATAAGCTCATCTTGATGTTACATTCATCAAGACCTTTTATTTGAGTACCCACATGTTTTTTTTTTTATATATTTCATATATTTTATATATGTGATATTTATGAAATATATCAAAAATGCATGTGGGTACTCAAATGAAAGCTCTTGATGAGTGTAACATCGAGATGAGCTTATATCTTAAAAAATTTCAATAATTAAGAAATGACGTCGTATTTTGTCTACTGATGATATTTTCTACAATATAAGCTCATCCTGGAGTTACACTCATCGAGACCTTTCATTTAAGTACCCACATCAATTTTTCATATATTTTATATATATCATATATATGTATATATGAAAAATATATGAAAATGCATGTGGGTACTCAAATGAAAGCTCTTTACGCGTGTAACATCAGGATGAGTTTATATCTTTAAAATATATATTATATATATTACACAATTAAGAAATGACCCTGTATCTTGTGAACTATTGACATTTTTAAAAATATAAGCTCATCCCGACATTACGCTCGTCAAGACCTTTCATTCGAGTACCCACATCAATTTTTCATATATTTATATATATATTATATATATCTATATATGAAAAATATATCAAAAATGCATGTGGGTACTCAAATGAAAGCTCTTGATGAGTGTAACATCGGGATGAGCATATATCTTCAAAAACGTCAACAGTTAAAAAAGTAAAGTGCAATTTAACAAAAGTAATTATTTAATAAAGCAAAATTTTATTTATTTATAGTTCATAAATAGTACTATAAATAGTTGCTAGTATTTATTAATTTATTAGAGTTGATTTTTTTTTTAATTAAAATAAAATTGCAAGTGTCAATAATTGGATAATTGGGTCTTTATACTTACAGTTTGCGTGATCTCTTTCTTCATAAATGGCTTGATCATTCCCAGCACAATCTGAACAATAGTCATAGATCTTATAAAATGAATCCCCTTGGGTCGAATGGGAAGTCCCTCTTGGAGATAGTTTATCAGTTTTCTGCACCCGAGAAGACTCATACGAGTGCTGTGACCCAGTGTAGCGTTAGACATGTCGAAGATAAATACGTGACCTTTTGCAGCACCCTGTGTAAACATCGAGAGGTCTACCGACATGTGGAGATACTTCATCGAAGGGCTCCACACGAATTTTGAAGGATCGTAGTTTATCAACCGGCCAAAGAATATTTTGTAACCTTCCGGCGTTTCACCATCAAGAGGCATGAATGTTCTGTTTTATAAATTAACATTAATATTCATATTAATTAATTTTTATTTATTTCAGATAAAAAAATACTGACGTTGTTTCAAAGGCCTGACGAAGTTCTTCATTCTTCAAAGGATCTCTCGCTGAAAAATACTCCTTGGTATTTGTCCTGATGGTGTAAAAAGCTTCAATAGTCGTTTTGGCTCGCTCCACATCATAGTAATTACTAGAAAGAAATAAAACAAGCTCACTGTCTAATATTTTTGGCAAATGAGGCTGTGTCTTGCACCATTCTTTCAGTAATTTAATGTCTGATTTTTTTAACTCCGGATCACGGGCCAATTCTTCTTCAAGACTCACTCTCTGTATCATCTCTGTCATGTTTACTAACTAACTACAGACTGAATTATTTTCTCTGGAAAAAAACGTAGTGCATAAAGTGCAACTGTACTTGTTATCAAAAATTTTCCGATATACTTACTTACTTTGTTATGATTGGAGATAACTCGGTTCGGAGATATTAAATTTATCTGAGAGAATTCAATGTACCTTTCTTATTAATTATTGGTGACTGAACGTTTATCTGATTCTTTCATTTAAAAAATTTCTTTGTTGTTTTGTAGATTTAAAAAAAATTTTTTTTTTTTATTTTATGAATTTTAACTTACGCGATAAAAATAACTTATAAATTGAAATATAATTTAATTAAAAACTGACGAAATAACACTGAATCAACAAATTAATTTTTGCAATTGACTTCACACATGTGCTGTTTTTTTTTCGTTTATCTGACATATTATTTTAATTGCAAATATTATTTGCAATTAAAATAATGTTTTACTTATGACTGAATTAAATTTCATAATCTTTTGAAGCTTTATCATTTTATTAGATTAATAATTAAAAATAACATAAAAAAAAAATCAATAATTTTTTTTTTTAAATAGTATATTTCAAAGTACATATTTAATAAAATAATATATAATTTTTTATTGTTAATAATAAAAATTAATCAATGTCGAGTTTCTTGAAGCTTCCTTCGACTCCAAAAAGATCAGTAGCATTTTTTCCCTTTCCAGGTCGCAGAGATTCATTGACGCGGCCACGAGATTCTTCTTCCAAGAAGAAATCACGGTGAGCTTCCATTTTTTTTATATTCTTCTCGTGGAGATCTCTCAGAGGTCCAGCTTTGCCACCTGATTCATTAGGAAGAATATCAAGCGGCAGGAATTTTTTTACTGTTTCGTTGCTGGTGTGAATGTGAAGCTAAAAATAAAAAATGTAAGTAGAATTAATAATTATAATTAATTAATTAAAAAAAATAAAAAATTAATTAATTAAAAAGAAATTGATAATTAATTAATTTGAAACAAGTTAATAAATTAAAAGAATAATAATAATTAATTAATTTTAAAAAAAAATTAATTGATTAAGAAAATTACTAATTAATTAGTTAAAAACAATTAATAATTAATTAATTTAAAAAATTAATTTAAGAAAATACTAATTAATTAATTAAAATAATTACAATATCCATAAGTTCTTTTTTCATGAACGGTTTCATCATTCCCAGGATAATTTCCATCACCGGAATAGAGTTGGTGAAATGTAAGCCCTTGAGACGAACGGGCAGCCCTTCTTGGAGGTAGAACAAAAATTTCTTCAAACCCATTGGACTCAAACGAGTAGTATGACCAAAAGAAAGACCTGCCAAGTCCACAAGAATTATGTGACCCTTCATAGTTCCTTCTGAGTACATCCAAAGGTCCATTGACATGTTCCAGTACTTTATAGCGTCGTTGTAAACGTACGCAGATGGCTCAAAGTTCATTAGACGCCCGTAAATTATTTTGTAACCTTCCGCTGTTTCTCCCTCCAGTGGAAAGTATGCTCTATTTAATATTATTAATTATATTAGCATATTTATATCTACATTATTAAGAGAATAATGACCTTGTATCTCGTGAACTATTGACATTTTTAAAGATATAAGCTCATCCCGATGTTACGCTCATCAAGACCTTTCATTTGAGTACCCACATCAATTTTTCATATATTTATACATATTATATATATTACATATATGTATATATGAAAAATATGTGAAAATGCATGTGGGTACTCAAATGAAAGGTCTTGATGAGTGTGACATCAGGATGAGCTTATATCTTAAAAAATGTCAATAGTTAAGAAATGACATTATATCTCGTGAACTATTGACATTTTTAAAGATATAAGCTCACCCCGACATTACACTCATCGAGACCTATCATTTGAGTACCCACATCAATTTTTCATATATTTATACATATTATATATATGTATATATGAAAAATATATGAAAATGCATGTGGGTACTCAAATGAAAGGTCTTGATGAGTATAACATCAGGATGAGCTTATATCTTCAAAAATGTCAATAGTTAAAAAAGTACAGTGCAATTTAACAAAAGTCATTATTTAATAAAGCCAAATATTTTATAAAAAATACTTACGCTGTTTGAAACATATTTCTCAGGTCTTTATTCCCCAACGGATCTCTGTTAAAGAAAAACTCCGGAACATGAGTTCTCACTGTGTAAAAAGTATCAATCGTCGTTTTAGTCGGTTCCAACCGGTAATAATTACTATGCAGGAACAAAATCAACTCATTGTCAGATATTTTTGGCAAGTGTGGCTGCTTCTCGTACCAATCTTTCAACATTTTAAGATCAGCTTCCTTTAATTCAGGATTGCGCTTCATTTCTTCTTCAACAGGTACCATTTTAATTAAAGCCATGATTACCTAAAATATAATAAATAAATATTTTAAAAAAATTTTACAGTTTTTATTAAATTAATTATTATATCAGAGCCAAACTCAAAATTCTAATTTTAAAAGGTTGCTTTTAGAGATTAAATTTTGACGCACCCTATTAATTATTAAATTAATTTTCACTTGAGAAGTATAATAATTTTTATAAATCTATTAACAGAGTAATATATTTACTTGAAGTTTAAGGTGAGCAGTTGGTTGTATTTTAACTGCTGGCAATTCAGACACTAAATGTAATAAAATTCTATTGACATTAAAAGTTACTTGCACGCACAGCTTTGAATCTAGCGTGACGGTGTTGTATGACTTAGCAAGGTCATATGTACAATTAATCAGTATGATTCGAATGTACGAAATTATATTATTTAAATTCTTCCAGTGGTTTATTTACCGCCCATTGATTAAATAATGATTAATTTAGGCTAGCCTAAATATCAAAACTATATTTAACATTACTTTTTATAATCAACATAAAAAAATTACTATTTTATTAAAATATTATCCAACGAGCAAAGTACAATTTTGAGTGGAATTATCTGCTATAAAAAATTATGTTAGCTAGACAATAAATTTATAAGTATCGACGTTATGTAAAGAGTTGTAATTAGTCGATCATGGAATGGCATGGATTATTTTATCCATCATTACGCAGCATTATCTACCAAAGTGACACTGAAATTAAATATTTTTTTAAGTTACATAACTTAAGTCTCTATTCAAAATTTATAAAAAATAATATTACTTATTTTTTACGCATTTTAAAAATTCTAATTTTAGACATTTTTCTTCTGTCACTCCTGGAGCTACTGGACGGCTGAGACGCTCCAGAAAAACTCTTCATATTCAGCAATTTCTTCGTTAATTTTTTTCTTTTCATTGCAGGATTCCTTGAGACTGATCTTCCACTCGAGCTAGATAAATTATTCGGCCTTGATCGGCTCCTGTATGTGCGATTTCTGTGCGCTAGGCTGCGACGTCTCTTGCGCTTAGATAATTGCACGCGAGATTCTTGGCTGCTTAGTTCGTCTTCTGCCCAAAATTGCTGGTCAGTATCGTCTGATATCAGAATTGTCTTCTTTAAAAATAAAAACAGTAATTAACAATTTGGATTATACTCAGTAGAATCTTAGATTACACTCAGTGATATCTCCGATATTTTTTTCCTAGCGTCTGCGCATTTAGCATTATCATATCTATTATGTATTTTAGATATTAGGATTTCAAATATTGTTATAAATACTATCTGAAATTTTTTTTTCAACACAGATATCACTGAGTATAATCTGGGATGATATCCAGTGTCATTTTGTTCTTTCTGTGTAGGGTTTCATTAATTTCATATAAATATTAATTACTCACCAAAATCTTTGTTCATTTTTAGGTTATTTTTAGGTTGGCCAAACTTACCCTTTCACTTGGAACTTTTGATTTTGCAGAGCCCAAATGTGACTTAAGTAAATTAAAACTGCAATAACTTATTTCTTCTTCAGAACTTCGGGATAAGCTATCACAATAATTTTCTTTTGCCATTTTTTTCTTCAATTTAGTTTTTTTTTTATTTTTAGTAATCTAACCTATTAATTTTGATGATAGCTGTTGATGAGACTGTCAAAAAATTAAAACAATGGAAAACGCCATGTTGGAAAAAAATCGAATGCTAGAAATGAATAAATTAAGGTAGGGTAAATGCACCAGTTGTTGACCGATGTATAAAAAAGTTAATTAATTAATATTTTACAAGGATTTTTTTTTTCTTAAAGTATTAAAATAAAAAAATATGGCATTTAATCATCATAATAAAGAATTACGCAATTAATTGCGCAGTGATTTATAGCTTTAAAAAAATATTCTGAGTTTGTTTACAACGGAACCAGCCATAAAGCGGTCAAAAATAACTACCGTACAATTGGAGAGTGAGTGCATTTCATCATTAATTTGGTGATATTTATCGGCATAATATCAAATATTTTAGTTTTATTATGTTAATTTAATAATAAATTTAATTACATACATGTAGTTAACAAAATTACTTATAATTATTTGAGCGGTCAATTAATTGGTTGGAGAACGCTCGGTCATTTATTGGGTTTCTTCGGTCAATAATTGGTGATTTTAGTATTTCAACATTCAAATAACAAAATTAATATAATTTTGTTATTACAGAAAAAGAAAACCTTAATCGGTCAATAATTGGTGCATTTACCCTATGTAATATTTTATTTAAATATTAGTTTATAATTATAATTTGTTAATAATAATTGTAATTCTTTTAAAACTAATGATAATTTTGACTAATATTAATAATTAATAATTATTATAAAATTTCAATCAATATCAAGTTTCTTAAAACTTCCTTCAACACCAAAAAGATCAGTAGCACTTTTAGCTTTTCCTGGACGCAAAGATTCGTCAATACGACGGCACTTTTCTTCTTCCAGGAAGAAATCACGATGATCTTCTAATCTTTTCAAATGTTTTTTATGGAGTTCCATAAAGGGTCCAGCATTTCCACCGGATTCATTTGGTAAAATTTCAAGAGGAAGATATTTTTTTGCTGTTTCATTATTGGTGTGAATATGAAGCTAAAGAAAAGTGTTTGTATAATTATTGTTACCATAATTTAATGGTAATAACTTTGCAAATAATGTTACTATTATTAATAAAATAATTTCTTACAATATCCATGAGCTCTTTCTTCAAAAATGGCTTCATCATTCCCATAATGATGTCCATAACTGGGATAGAGTTCAAAAAATGGAACCCTTTTAGACGAACAGGAAGACCTTCTTGAAGATAATAGAAAAACTTTTTGAACCCCATGGGACTGAGCCGCGTAGTGTGGCCCAGAGCGAGGCCCGCCAAGTCCACGACAATTATATGGCCTTTCATGGTACCTTCGGTGTACATCCAGAGATCCATTGCCATGTTCCAGTACTTCATAGCGTCATTCCATACGTAAGCTGATGGTTCGTAGTTTATCAAGCGCCCGTAGATTATTTTGAAGCCCTCTGGTGTTTCTCCCGGCAACGGCATGTAAGCTCTAATTAATTTATGATGATAAGTATTTAGGCTGCATTCGAAAACGCTCTATCTCTAGACACATAATCAAGAAATGACCTTGTATCTTGTGAAATATTGACATTTTTAAAGATATAAGCTCATCCTGATGTTATACTCATCAAGACCTCTCATTTGAGTACCCACATCAATTTTTTATATATTTATATATATTATATATATGTATATGTGAAAAATATATCAAAAATGCATGTGGATACTTAAATGAAAGCTCTTGACGAATGTAACATCGGGATAAGCTTATATCTTTAAAAAGGTCAATATTAGAGAAATGACATTGTATCTAGTGAAATATTGACATTTTTAAAGAAATGAGCTCACCATGATGTTACACTCATCAAGAGCTTTTATTTGAGTACCCACATGCATTTTTGATATAGTTTTGATATATACATATATATAATATATAAAATATATGTAAAACTGACCTTGTATTTCGTGAACTATTGACATTTTTAAAGTTATAAGTTCAGACTGATGTTACACTCATCAAGACCTTTTATTTGAGTACCCACATCAATTTTTCATATATTTCATATCTTTATATATATTATATATATGTATATATGAAAAATATATCAAAATGCATGTGGGTACTCAAATGAAAGCTCTTGATGATTGTAACATCAGGATGAGCTTATATCTTTAAAAACGTCAATAGTTAAGAAAGTACAGTGCAATTTAACAAAAGTCATTATTTAATAAAACAAAATTTTATTTATTTATAGTTCACAAGTCACGGAAGTCTTATAGTGACTGCAAGGTTGCTAGTATAAAATTATAGGTTGAGTAAATTTAAATAAAATACTTACGAAGTTTCAAACATATGACGGAGTTCCTTATTTGCTACCGGATCTCTGTTGGAAAAATACTCTGGAACATGAGTCCTCACCGTATAAAAGGTATCGATTGTTGTTTTAGTCGGTTCAATCCGGTAATAATTACTGTGCAGAAACAGAACAAGTTCACTGTCCAACATTTTCGGCAGATGGGGCTGTTTTTCGCACCATTCTCGCAAACTTTGGAGATCTGCTTCTTTAAGTTCTGGATTTTTTTTCAGTTCTTCCTCGAGCGGAACTCGCTTTATCAAGTCCATTATTTTTTTTTTTTAAGACGTAGTAAGACCTCCGGAAAACTGAAGCTTATTACTGTCAGCAGCTGAAAAAAATTCACTTTAATAGCTCATCAAGTTTCATTAAACGTGTAATTAATAATAATTGTTGCATACCTTGAATTTTTTAACATTACTAGCAAAATATTGTACAATGTAATGTAAAATGAGTCGGTAATTGAACGACGACTGATGAGTGTCAACTTCTAAGTATAAAAAATGTGTAATTATTAATTTACAGTGTAATTATCGCTGAGTGACAATTGTAATATTTAACATCTCATTATATAATTTTTTAGATATAAATAGTTTAATACAATTTTTAATTCACTAGTTTGTAGAATTTATTGATCAAATATTTTACAGTTGTACTTATATTAATTAATTAAAAAAGTACGCAAACTTAAATGGTATAATTGTAAGTTTTTTTATAACTTAGGACAACTAAGTCAATAAATTCATTGAAAATAAGCTTCTAACTTATAATATTAATTAATATTTATAGTAAAAAAAGTAATTAAATGTAAAAAAATTATAGATAAATGTATGCTTAATTTTAATTGCTAATTATTAATTAATCATTTTCAGATTTTCGGCGTTTCTTCAGTCGTGGGCTCTCGGAATCATGTGGACTTGGAGTAATATGACTTCGTTTTCTCTTTAAAATATTTATTTCATTGAATTCACTGTTACTACTTCCAGCTGTTCTTGTTTCTCTTCTAAAAGATACGTCTTTCGTAACTCCTACTAGCATCTGTAAAAAAATTTACAATATAATTAGTACTCAAAAGTACAAAAAAGTTTGGAAAATCCAAAAGTGCACGCCTCGTAATTTGAGTTTTCACAATAAAATTGATTAAAAGCAAAATAGTAAAAAATAGAAAACTCTGCTATGTTTCAGTTAATAAAAATTATTAGAAAATATTTTTTTTTTATTGTAATTGATGTTATAAAAAAAAAAAAAATTGATCAAAAAAAAAAAAGAAATGAATACCTGAAATTCTTGGAGACAGTCTTCTTGCATTTCCATAGCCATCTTATGAATATGATTCGTCTGCTTATTATACATCAACGCATTCTGGAACATCAGCATAACATCCCTCTGAAAGTGCATCGTCGACCGTATTGTTCCATTCTCAATATTCTTCTTAATAGTCAACAAATCCATAGGCCTAAATATCACACTATGATAACCAGGAGCCTGCTCTTCAGTAATCGGCTTCGAAAACAAGGAAGCATACTTATGTTGCGTGAACCTCTGATACACCAACAAAACAGCTTTCTTCCAATTCCTATAATCAGCTTCTTCCCCAATATTATCCCCCTCATCTCTATCAATCGCAACATTTTGTTTCTTCGAGTAAGTCTTCATAGCGCGACCACCGCTAAGTTTTATAAGCGAGGACTCTTCTTCAACTTCTGGTTGAAGATTTTCCGGCAAAGTAACAGACTCTTCTTTCTTAACCTCAACTTCTTCTGCCTCCTTAGTCTCAACTTTCTCCTCAATTTTCTCAACTTTCTCTTTTTCTTCTTCATCTTTATTTTCAACCACCTTTTCTTCCTTTTCCTCTTTAACCTCCTCTTTTTCTTCCTTTTCCTCCTTCATCTCCTCAACACTTTCTTCAGCCTCTTCTTCTTTAACCTCTTCATCCTCATCCTTAACCTCATCTTTATCCTCAACTTCCAAATCCTCTATTTTTTCTTCTTCTTTCTCATCCTTCTCTTTTTCTTCCTTCTCTTCCTCCTTTTTCTCAATTTTAACCTCCTCCTCCTTTTCTACCTCTTTTTCCTCCTCTTTCTCTTCTTCTTTAACTTCCTCCTCTCCTTTAACCTCTTTCTCCTCTTTATCCTCCTTTTCCTCCACCTTTTCTTCTTCCTTCTCAGCCTCACTAATTTCCTCCTTAACTTCTTCCTCATTCTTTTCTCCTTCAACTTCTTTCTCCTCCTTATTAACCTCCTCAACCACTATTTCTTCTTTAGAACCTTCCTTTTTTTCCTCCACCTCTACCTCCTTCTTCTCCTCCTTCACCTTCTTATCCTCTCCAACCTCCTCTTCAACTTTTTCCTCCTCAACTTCATCCTTCAACTCCTTATACTCTTCTTTAGCTTCCTTAATCTCTTCTTCCCACTCCTCCTTATCCTCCTTTCCAACATCTTCTTTCTTCTCACAAATTTCCTCAATTTCCTCCTTCTCCTCTTTTTTATCCTCCTCCTCCTCCTCCTTATCCTCAACCTTATTCTTTTCCTCCATCTCCTCTTCCTTAACCTCCTCAATTCCTTCCTTAACCTCCACCTCCTCAACCTCCTCTTTCTCTTCCTTCTCAACCTTCTCCCCCTCCACTGCATCTTCTTCCACCTCCATTTTTTCCTCCTCCTTCCTCTCCTCCCCAACCTTACCTTCTCCTTCAACCTCCTTTTTCACTTCCTCCTCAATCTTATCCCCAACTTCCTCTATCTCCTCCTTCTCCTCTTTCTTCTCCTGGTGAGCTACCTTGGAAGTCTCAATAGAAGTTCCAATAATCTCCGCAATATTACTGGAGCTGTGCTCAATTTCCTCAATGGCCATCTCGCTCTCCGGAGAATCAGTCAACGAAATAGTTTTCTCAACCTTAGCCTCTACTTCTTCATTTTTCTCCACCCCAGGAAATGTCTCACCCTTAGAAACCACCTCCCTCACCTCCGTCTGAGGGCTCTTAGTAATTTCTTCCTTAATAAGTTCCTCAATATCCTCCATAATCTCATTGATCTCATCCTTATCAATAACATCCGGAAGATTATCTTTGCCTATAACATCATCAATCTGCTCAATAATCTCTCCCACATTATCACTATTAGCAATCTCAGCTTCAGCATTCGACAACTGAATCGCTGGAGCTTGGTTCACAGATTTAGTACCAGAAGACCTCACAGATGTCTCTGTGTCGCTTTTGGCGGCCGGTAAGGTAGGAAGTGGCCCTTTCGGCAAATTAGCAGGCAGCGCCAATAGCATAGAGAGCGTTGGAGCTCCTGCTGAAGGTCTTTCAGGCGTTCCAGAGGGAATTACAGAGGTAACAATATGATGAATTGGCGCTGTGACATTCTGGGGCGCTGAAGACACCATGTGAACGCTTCCACTAGAATTTAAGAGGCTAGCAATTGTTGGAGAGGTAACCTGGGCCGTTGAAGTCGCATTTTGAATCTGTTTTGTCGGACTAGGAGCTTTTAGGAGGTTTGTTAGTAAAGTAGAGGACCCTCGCTTTTTTTCTTCTTCATCATTAGTGTCTTCTGGGGTATCATTTAAATCCAAAGTTTTCTTTAATGGAGTTAATGGAGCAGGTGATTGACTTGTAAGATCCTGTTTCTGCTGACGCTTGGCTAACCAAACACTGTGAGCTTTGGCTTTTTGCTCCTGCTCTCTCTCCTCCTGCTCAATAGCCTGCCACATCTTCTGAAGCTTGTCATCGCTGATAGATCCAGACTTTAGTAAATTTACTTCTGATTTTAACTGCTGGTACTCGTCTCGTTGGAAGGCTAATATTTGACCCAATTCGGCGGTTCTTTCTTGGGTCAGTCGCTTGACTATTGACTCTCCTATTGTATCTCCGCTCTCGCGTTTTTTTCTTTTAGGTGTGTCGACGTTTTCCAGGAGACGAGTGTACTGGTTTGCGCAAGCTTTGTGGGAAAACCAATCTGGAGGGCGCAAAGCTTCTTTTTCGGCGAAGGGCTTTAGAGATCTGGAGACAGTTATCCAATTCTGGTCTCCGGATTTTAAGACACTTGATGCGAGACATAGTTGCTCTCTTGTACTCCATGTGTCTCTTGATTCTCGTTGTTTTGTTTTTAGTCCTATTTTTTAAGAAATATATATTTAAATTTTTTTTTGTATAAGAAAAATCGTTTATATTTTTAATGTCAAAAGTTATTTATAATAATTATAATAAACAGTTTGGAAGTGTTTAAAAATTCTGTATTTAAAATAAAAAATTAAAAATCTGACAATTTTTTTTAATAAATAAATTTAGAAAAATAAAATATTAGAAAGGAGAAATTTTCGAAAAACTATGACTAGGTTTTTTTTTTAATTTTAATGAAAATTAAGTTAGCCATCTGAAAATTTTTAATTGAAAAATTATTACAAAAAAATAAAGAAAAATTTTCATTTGTAAAAAACTTGAAAAACTATAAGTGCAATTTTTGAAAAATATTTTTTTATTCTAGTTTAATAAATTAAAAAAAAATAAAAAACGTTGGCTAACTTTAGCATTATTAATTTTTAATATTATATAAAATTAATATCATATTATAATAATAATATTAATATTATTTGTTTAATAAATGAATGACAATAAAGTTAGCCGACATCTAAAAATTTTTGAAATTTATTTTATTGAAAAAATTATCTAAAAAAAATTAAATGAAAAAATTTCACATGTAGAAAGTTTTAAAAATTATACGTGAAATTTTGATAAAAAAAAATTTTTAATTGTTGAACGTCGGCTAATTTTAATGTTGTTTAATAAAACCACAAACTGTTCAAGTATCAGCTGATTGCAATATTATAAATAAGTAAATAAAATATTTAAAAAAAAAAACTTACTTTCTTGTACTGAAGTCATTTTTTAATTTTGTGGTTCAAAAACCAAAATAAAATAAATAATAACCAATTATTTATAAGCCGCTTGTTATTCCAACAAAATTCATCAGTTTAATATTCCAAACATTGTAAAGAATAATTTTACATGAAAAAAATTATTCTTGTACTTTATTCACTCTGAAAAATATAAATAATTAATTAAATATTGTCAATAATTATAATAACAAGAATTAAAAAAATATTTTTTATTTTACTTTAACTTTGTTTACTCTTAACTTTGGAGGTTAGTTTATTTTAATATTTATTCTAACTTGCAAGTAGCAGCTCCGAAAAACCACTACCAGTAAATGCTGCCCTCTGTAATCGATTTGAGTTTTCTGAAGCTGGCTCGAGAGGGCGCGAGCGCGGCAAATTTAAATAAGGCAATCAGGAAAATTATTTAGCTGTGAATAATTAGTTTAATTAACGCGGATCCGGTATGTATATTTCTACAGTGTTGAAAAAGTTGTAAAGAGTAATTGTAATTACTAATTACACAACAGTAGAGTAATGTTATTGCATAATTACATCGGTCATTAATTTTTAATGGCTTATTAAATATATTAAGTTCTTAAGTTCTTTTATGGTTATTATTATTATGATTAATTGTTACAATTAAACATAATAACTAGACGGTGCTTATTACAAATTTAAATTTACAATTTTTTTTTTTTAAATAATTATTTTTTTTCTAACAATTTTCTAGACTTAAACAAAGAATTATAATTAAAATTTATTCAACGTTACATAAAATATTTTTACTTTATTTTAAAAATAATAACAATAGTCAAACAAATAAAACTAATAATTAAATTTTAAAAATACTGTCCTCAGTTAAAAATTTCTAACTTTCAAATTAATCGTTTCCGTTCGGTGTGAATAGAAAAATACATTTTTTCGGAGACATAAGAAGATATAAATAGATACTTAATTGACAGTAATTAATTTTTTATAATTAATATAACTTAACGGGTAATTTTTTATCCTTTTACAATTAAGATAATTAAATTATCTTTAATTATGTTAATAAATATAAATTATGCATTCAATATTTAATGACTTTTTAATTTGAATTTACGGGTACTAAAAATTTGTTAAATAACAATTTTTATAGCTTATAATTTTAATACTTATTTATGAGTCATTAACTTTAAATCATTAAATCTTACAAAATTATAAAACTTTCTATAAAGTTATATTTGAGAAAATATGCAGTACAAAATAACGATATTTATTATTAATTATAATTAAGATATGACCTTATATCTTATATCGTGTGAACTATTGACATTTTCAAAGATATAAGCTCATCCCAATGTTACACTCATGGAGATCTTTCATTTGAGTACCCACATCAATTTTTCATATATTTTATATATTTATATATATGTATATATGAAAAATATATCAAAAATGCATGTAGGTACTCAAATGAAAGCTCTTGATGAGTGTAACATCGGGATGAGCTTATATCTTTAAAAATGTCAATAGTTAAGAAAGTACAGTGCCATTTAACATAATAAAGAAATGACCTTGTATCTTGTGAACTATTGACATTTTTAAAGATATAAGCTCAT